TGAAATTTTCGTGTGTTCTCTCACTTTTATTTTACCATTTTTTCCTTAGTTTATTATTCCTTTACTTTTTTTTCTTTGGACGTTTTGGCCATTTCAGCTGAAATGTGTATTTGCCCTTTCTTTCGGTGAAGCTTCTAGGCTTCATTTTCTCTCTTTTCCTTTCTTTTCTCTGTCTGGATCTCTTTCGATATTCTGTTTTTTTTCCCTTTTGTTTATGGGTTCTTCTGCTTTAGTTGCCTTTCATCTTCTTCCTTTCTCGATCTTCTCTTTCTGGCTTTGTTTGGGTTTCTTCCCTTTCTTCTCTCTGTCTCGATCTCTTGCGATCTTCAGCTTTTTTTTCCTTTTGTTTATGGGTTCTTTTGGTTTGTTTGCCTTTCGTCTTCTTCCTTTCTTGTCACAACCCCAAGGATAGGGCTGTTATTATTGGGATATAATTAAAGAAAATTACCTTAATTAAATTGGATTAATTAAGAAAAATCCATGAAAATAAAATAAAATATTAAAATACCAAAATAGATATTAAAATATATTGCTCCGAAGTCTTTCATTTACAAATAATATTTGAAACAATCCATAAAATCCAAGGAAAATAGTACAACTCTGGGACAATATCGACCAATACAGTTTATATACAGAAATACATTACATCTCAGAATCAAAAACTGTAAATTCGAAACAAACTAACCACTTTGAATCTCGCGCATTCAATCCATTAGCATCCACTCGCCATGTTGTAAATCTAAACTGTTAACTCTGGAGGGGGCTTTAAAACATTGAAAACAGAAGAAAAATGAGCGGAAGGCCCAGTAGGATATAATTCTATAAAAATTTAATAATTAAAGTACTCACGGTCTGAAGACATACACCAGGAACTGATGATCTTTTAAAGAAAGGAAATACTCACGTAATAGTAGCAAAATATTTTAATAATGAAAATATGCAAAGCCATAATATCACCACTGAGTAAGAAGTGGCCCGTACGGGTTTCGAGACCTGCCCCCAAGGATACGATTCCCATATCCCGATCTCTGTGGCCATCATGCGTTTTATCATTTCTTAAAATATCTCATTTTAAGAAAGAAAACTCTTTAAAATCTCATTTCCAAATTATTAGAAACTCAGTAGCATTATTCATGCCATTTCCTTTAAAATTATTTCTTTCTTTAAACATGTTTTGTGTTTAAAACATTTTTATAGGCAAAAATCATTTAAATCATAGCTATCAAGGATATGTACAAGAATATCCTACCTCTCATTTATCAAACCTGAGCTAGCCTTTCATTATCCTAGCCTCCGCTTTCCTCAAAGCTTTTAATCTGATCCTTCAACTAACATTGTCACAAAACAAAGTTTTAGGACACAATCCTCATTCCTAAAACAAATCAAGTTCAATTATGTCTAATTATTTCCTATTAGTGTGCCTCGATCCAAATTCAAAGTTTACAACTTATTTCATAATTCAATTTGGAATTCTTTAAAAATAAAAACTCAAACAATTAATTTGGTTTCAAATTGAAATTTAGCTCAAAAATAAGTTTTCTAAAGAATTTCGGTAGCATTCTGACAGCAGGAAGGAAAAATACCAAAACCTGCTATTTGAGTTCAGTTCTAAAACAAATCCTTAGGAAATCATTAAAATCAGTTTCCAAACACTTCAATAAGTTCAATAACTGAAAATCCCCAAATTTAATCCAAGTTCAACCCCAATTTGTTCAAATCTAAACCCTAACCAAAATTCATCAAATCTAACCAAAATCACACTTCCTCAAGTTTGAAATTCAAATCAAAGAGTGGGTTTCAAGGGGTTTTACCTCAAATTAGTTGATGGAGCCTTGCTCCCTCTGTTTCTCCCGTTTTCTCTATTTTTTGCTTGTTGTTTCGGCAGAACCAACGACAGAGAGAGAGAGGGAGGGAGGGAGGGAGAGAGAAGAGGAGGGAGGGGGGGAGGGGGGGAGAGAGAGAGAGAGAGAGAGAGAGAAGAGAAGAGAAAGAGGTGGCCGGAGAGAGGGAGGGAGTGGTGGCCGGTGGTGAAGGAAGAAAGAGAGAGAGAGTTACCGTGGAGAACCAGAGGAGAAAGAGAGAATAAAATGAAAGAAAGAAAGAAAGAGAGAGAGGTCTGGGCAGCCACAGGAAGGAAGGGAAGGGAAAAAGAAAAATAAAAGAAAGAAAAGAAAAGGAAAAAGAAAGAAAAAAGGAAAAATAAAAGAAAATACATTAAAATTAAGTGTATTTTCAAAAACTTTTGGGGTGAAAATTGAAAAACTCAAAGTAATTTATAAGTCCTTAAAATAACTCAAAAACTTAATCTTTAATCACAAGATTAATTAGAAAAAATTAATTTTAGGCACATTAATATACATAATTAACATAATTAAACATGTTTAATTCTTAAGGGCACTACATTTCTCGATCTTCTATTTCTGGCTTTGTTTGGGGTTCTTCTCTGACGTTTCGGTTAATCTTCTGGGTTTTGTTTCGGTGAAGCCTCTACGGTTCATTTTCTCTGAAAATTTTCCCTTTCATTTTCTTCTCTTCGTCCGGATATTTTCTGATATTTTGGGTTTTCCTGCTTCTTTTTTATTTTGTTTTTTGGTTTTTATGCTTTATTTTTTTTTGCGTCTTCTTCCTTTCTCGATCTTCTCTTTCTTCTCGGAATAATTTAGGGTTTCGTTGTCTCCTTTTTTTTCCTTTCATTCTTTGATTTTATTTTGGTTTGGTTCTTTATTTTAGGGTTTCGTTGTTGTTCTTCTGTCTCTTCGTTGTGGTGGGTCGGTTGAAGATTTAAAAAGATCGAATTTTTCATCTTCTTCTGTTTTGTTTTGTCCTTTAATTATCATTTAGGGTTTCATTTTTTTGATGACTTTTTGATATTTTTGAGGGCTTTATGGGTTTTTTTTCTTCTTCGGAGATAGGTTTTCTTCTCTATTTTTTCTCAGTTATTTTTTAAAAAATTTTCTTTTTTTACTTATTCCTTATTTCTACAGGTTATTTCAAGAGTTGTTGTTGTGTTGTCGAGTTTATTTTTTGTTTTGACGCATGTTTTCCTCATCCTGTAATTTTTTTTGTCTGTTGATTATTGGTTCTGTTGTCCCGTGGTTTTCATGCTATGTAACACATATTGTTGACTAATCATTACATGGGTTGATCTTTGTTTGCAAGATATCTCATCGGGGTATGATCAGAAATTGGGTATGTTGGTTATTAGTTTCATTTTTCGGTGGTTTTCATGCTGCGTACCACTTATTGTTAACTAATTATTACATCAGTTTAGCTATGTTTGCAGGATGTTTTATTGGGAAATGATCAAAATTTTGTTTTCTTTGTGTATATGTTTATATTGTGTTTTATTTTATCATTAGTGTTTCTCACTTTTTCTTCATTTTCGTTCTCAGACTATTATAATCCATATTTTCTACCTTTTTTTTTTCTCCTGGTCAGTTTTGAATACTGAGTTTTTCTGTTTGGTTGTCTTTGTTTTGCAGTTTTTGTTGTTGTCCTGGATCTACTCTGTCCACTGCCCTTTTTCGGCTGAGGTATCTGTTTCTTAAATCTTACATGTGTTTCTTAACTGTTTTAAATACTGTATGTATTATGGTATTAGGATTTGTTTTGTGAATATGTTACGCTGTTAATATATCTGTTACTATCCTATGTTGTTACGATTGTGTTCTTATTGATTTTGTTAATATTATTTGTAACCTATTGTTTAATACCTATGTTATTTAAGTTATTGTTATTATTTAAGTATAAGTTAGGTTTATAGTTTATTTGTTTTGTTGATTTGTGAAGAGTCTATTTTTTCTCAACGTTTTATTCTTCTTTGGTGATGATGATGTATTTTTCTTTTATTGTTGTCATGCATTCAGTAACTATCAATACTAATTTGGCAGGTTTTGATGTTGCCCAGATTATTTGGGATTTATACTGTTATCTTTTTCTTCTCCAATGTTTTTTGAACCTATACATTTTCATTTGTTGTTTACTATTTATGTTATTTAAGTTATTTTAGTCACTGTTATTTAAATGTGATTTAAATTTATAATTTATTGAATTTCTTACTGTGATGTTAAGGGACCTAACATTTTCAGTGTTATTAAATTTCTTACTTAATTTCAATCACTGTTTATGTTGTTTTCTAGTTTATGCTCTTAATTCAGTCACTGATTTATGTTGTTTTTTTGTTTGTGTTGTTATTTAAATATGAAATTCAATCACTAAATTTCAGTCTTTCTTCTTCTTTCATTTTATCTTTCTTCTGTTCTTCTTTTTATTTCATCGTAATTTTCCTTCTTTGGTAGTTTGTGTAAATCTTTTATTAATTTAGTTGGCAGTCAAAGACATTGTTAATTCACATTACAGTTACTCATGATAAATGTTGTTAGCGACAGAAGAATCTCAACCTATTCAGGAGGAGGACAGAGCCCTAAACGACGAAAAACAAAAAAGAAAAATGGCTCTTTCCGGATTGCTCTGTCTTAACAAGAGGAGCATTCCCTCTTCATATATAGAGCGGACCTATCAAAGGTTGCATCTGGATCAGGAGAAAGATCCACGCATCCTGATGGCAGTCCTAGATAAAATCGACGAGTTATGTTATAAACATAATGGGTGGAATGGCGGCGAAGCCTACGGTATCAAACGTGAGGAAGTCAATAAACATCTAGTTAAATGGCTCAAAAATCTTCGAAAAAAATAGACGGCCAGAAGATGAGTAGGGAAGGGGGTCTCTAGTGATGATGATGTATTTCTTCATTGCAGCTCAGAATAAACAAGAAAGAAAAGTAAAGGTGAATATATATATATATATATATATATATATATATATATGTAAGTAAATATGTACCGTTTACAAACTGAACTTTTATTTTGTACCATAAAAAAAATTATAAAATATTTAAATGTTAAATATAGAAATATATATCCGTGCAATAGCACGGGTATTTCTACTTGTCTTATATATAGAGAGCATAATAAGCACATAAAATGGTTCAACAAATTATGTACTTATTAGTACTGATCAGTCACACACTAAACCAGAGAAACAAATTATAGCACATCAAACTATATATTATGTTTGCACAAACATTAATTAATTTATTAATACACCCATCAATATATAAATATATTTATATATATATATATATCATGTGATATAAATTCATGAAACTTCAGAGAAGCCAATCCTGGTTGCGGCTATTAATCCCACTCGCCATGGTCCTTGCTTCATGATGATCAATTGCATTTTCTTGGATCATAGACCTATAATACCTACAACTCAAAAGCTGTACTTATTAAGTACATATAATTTGAAATAGGAAAAAGAAGATAAATATCTCTTAAAATGCACGAGACTTAGATTTTTATCATTTACACTTGATTAATATCCTTTAATTAAAAAACTTATTAGTAGACCCAAAATGATATTAATCAAAAGTAAAGTGTAAAAATTTTAGAACAATGCATTTAAAAAGGGAGTTCACCAATTTTCTCTCTCAAAAATAAGGAACTTTATATAAGCTTTAAACGTTGATGTATGATTGAAAAACATGATTGGAATTTTAGTGTACTAGTCCAAATTAAAACTAGATCAAATGATCATGTAGTGATTTTCGTTAAGGAATTTTAAAAGGAGAAAATATCAATATTTGCTAACCCTTGGTCTATGACAAGTTGAGATTCAACGTGACCATTTGGTTGTGTTGAGTGCAGTTTAAACCCCTTGTTGCCAGAGCCAGAGAGTACTATGTTAAGATCCCCTTGATCTTCCATATTTGACCGAGCTTTTCTTTCTTCTTCTTCTTCGAGCTACAATTTCCAACCACCAGACACGTGCTAAATAATGCTCGTCATAATATATATATTCACACACATATAGATATATATGATAAAAATTCATATGGAACATATAGAGTCAAAATGTATCTATTCATCAAATAATTAATTAGAGAAAGAACCTTGGACGTGAGCTGATTGTGTGTTTTTAAAAGATCGCTCTCCTGTCAATGCATATAAATTAAAAGCCATGAGCGCAATGGATAGATGATTAATAAAATTAAAACACAGTTTAGAAGATGCTAATCTTTTTGGTTATGAGTAGTAAAATATATAGGTGTCAACTTTTTTTTTTTTTTTTTTTTTTTGGTGGAAGAAAACAGTAGGTGCTAACTTGCCATGCATTGAATACCAAATGATATAATAATACCAACTCAAATTCTAATTAGTTAAACAAGCGATATGTACAACTAACTGAAATATCAGTTATATTCAATTGTATCATATAAAAAGTAAGGGGTTATACTGATATACAATATTGATATTTGACATTAATGTATTAGCTACTTAACCAGCTGGTAGCTGGCCTTTGTAGTTTTGAGAGATTATGAAACGAGCAACTAAGTCATATATATATATATATATATATATGACTTTAGGGAAAGTTAACATTTTCAGTTAAATTAATTGTTTTGAATTTATTTGTTTTTGTGTCTAAATTAGAAAATCTTTTGATTTTAAAAGATTCAAGAGTCTTAGATAATTTATGACTTTTACTTGAATTTGTGGGTCCGATCTCCTTTGTGAGTTTTCTCTCTTCTCTTAGTTCGTGGGTGCAGATGAAGTTAAACCACATTGAATATTTATGTTCTCTTATTCTTTTTTTTTTTTTAATATGGTATCAGAGTGCTCTATCAACGAGCAACACTCTCATGGCTCCTATTAGGGAAAAAAAAAATTTCCTAAGACTCCCTGCGCCCTCAACGTTTGTTGTCCTTGCGTTCCTGCCTTCTACACGCGTCGCGGCCTTGCACCAATGAGCCACCGGCTACTGCTTCAACATCCTCTCCTCAAATCTCAATGTGTCACTCAAGTTTTAATGGTACAGTGTTTTCTCTTGTAAAAATTTAAATTCAACTTTTTTATCACAGTATTTTTCTCTCACATATGCACAACTCAAATTATAATTCAAGTTATGACTTAAATTGTGAAATTTGTGAAAATTCAAATGTCTTGTGAAAACCCAACTCCCAAATACCACTAGCCATATCCACATCCCCCCTTCCCACCACAAGCCGTTATCTTGTTGCCGACACTACTGTCACCAACATCCATATATATTGGTTCCTTTTATTGCAGTCCAAGATTAAAATCTACTCCATCTTTCGTGCATATATAGTTATATTTATTAGTAGTTTTGAATTTATTTCAAATTAGGAATTCTTTTTATTTTATAAGATTTTGATATAGTCTCAAGTCACTTACATGATTTTCTACTTGTAATTTATATTTATGTAGAGTTCATTCATAGTGTTTTTCATTAGTTCTTTCTTTTTATATCCTAGTCCATGAATGTAGGTACATTATTGTGGAGCCATGTTAAATCTTTGCGTTCTCTTATTTATTTATTTTCCTCTTTAATTATTAACAAAATATGCGGACGTGGCATTGGGCTTGAGAGAGTGATGATTAGTGTTCTCACCTTTTTCCGCAGTTCTTCCATTCGTTCCGCCAACATGTCATTCTGCATTGATAAGCAGTAAATAGTTGATCAATTATGTACTAATCTTTGAAGTGTTACTAATCAGCGCTGTAGCACAATTTGTATTGAATCTTCTTAGAATCAGGCAAAATATCTAATTACAGTAACTTTTCAAGGAATCATGCGAAATGGAGAATTATTTATATATATATATATATATATGTCATATATAGATAATTAATTCACCACAACATGAACACATGTATAATTGGTCTATACCTATACATAATCGCCACTCAGCATGATCACATATCTAGTTTTAGTAGAGGTAAACTTAATGAGAAGTAACCATCACGTTATCCTTAATGCATGACAATCGATCCAATAAGTCAGTACACAATTATCAAAAACGAGAATATACGTAGATATGTATGTATAAATACAATTAATTTGACTAATTATATCTAATAAATTTGACATTTAACTTATTATTATTAAATAGCTGGAGTACGTACGTAGTGCTAAATATGAAACTTAAGTAACTGATATAATTTGACGCCATCTTTCTTTCCTTTTTGCTATTGATCATAATCTCCTGAAAATTATAGTAATTCAGTATTTGCGTTTTCGTTTCAATGAGAGCAGAAACATAGATTAGCAGCCAACTATATATATATATATATACACACACACACACACACACACACACACACACACACACACATCTATTCACAAATAAAAAAAAAAAAACTATATACATACATCTATATCTGTATATACGTACCTTCCGCTGTCTAGTTTGTGATAGAGTCCTATCAAGCTGTTTCTCAAGATTTTGCAAATCTCTCAGATTAAGCTCCTCGAGATTTTCTCCCAGATAATGCCTTGAAACATGTAGTTAACCATATATAGGTCATTATATGTCCAAAGTATTATGGCTAAAAATGTAGTTATAGGTATAGTCTGGCTACTCTAGAAAACCAATTATTTGAACGCTTATGTTTTGTGGGAAAACCATTGATAAAAGTTCTCATATGTACATGGCATGCCAGAAATCTAATCGAATTATTTGTACTAATTCGATATGTAGTTTATTAAGTTATTGACAATACTTTTCATGAGTATATTGCAATTTTAGGTTTATGGAATATTCAGATATATGAAAACCTCTCTGCCCGCTGAAGAGTTTCATATCTGAGCTTCAGTTTTGGAATCTCCCGGATTAAGTCCTGCAACTTGATCAAGAGAAGAAAATGTAATTAATAATAGGATCGGGAAAAGTGCTATCTTGTAGCTGTTCATTACCACAGAAATATATATAGTACAGAAAATTTTTCATTGATCAAATATAGTACAGAAAATTAGGTCTTAGCAAAAGGAAAATGACATATATATGTTTCTAGATGTTCTTAGAGGCGTATATCATTACAAACTTATATGTTTCTAGAAGTTCTTCGAGGCGTATATCATTATAAACTTAATCAAAAGTTAATTAACTCATCCAGGAATAAATTGAATAACAATTTGGGCTAAAATCATGATTTTACTTCTGTGAAAGCGTTAGCTAAATATTACCCTTTCAGAATGTGTAGATCTTTACTCGTTATGAAAACGAGTAGATTGATAGATGCTGTGCTTATATTAATATTATTTAGGATAGATTCTATGCTGAATTGATATTATCCTTTCATTTTATTTTTAATAATATTTGAGTTGGGAATTTAGTATTGGGTGATATTTCATATAAGTGTCAACTTAGTTAAAATGCACTAGTAAGATCTGATATTAGTTATTATCTCTCGTCATTTAAAAAAAAAAAAAACAAATAGAAGTCGAGGCTTAATTTAGCCGCGGAACTTTTAGTGGCGACATTTATAGTCGCTAGGAACAAATATACAGCAACAACAGAGAAGAAAAAATGCTTCAATTCGTCTGGTTCAACTCATTTTCTACAGGCACAGTGCAGGGACACAACAATGTTCATAACCACTGATCACCTTATTCTAATCCCAAACCCCAAAGTTCAGCCAAAAAAAAAAAAAAAAGAATCCATTTGAAGGATTAATATAGTAATGAATGATGAAATCATGACCGTAATATATATTGAAAATGAGTAACTCCACATGCAAATGGAAGAGCTAACTATATCCAAACCTGCGCTTCATCTCCAACAATATTATTGCTGTCTTGAGAGGAGTAAGAAAATTGGCGGTAGCGCTCCAGAATCATATCCAAGCTGATAATATATATACACCAAATAATAAAAGCTGGTGAACTATACTATTGTATGCTGCCCTGCTATAAAAAAACTATATATAGCAAAATAATTAATATGATATAACACAAAAAAATAGATTAACATCATAAGAGAATTGAAGGAATGCAATATTATTACTAAACACAGTTTTATAAATGCTATAGTCCCTTTTGATTTTTGTACTGATTAATTTAATTAATTAGGGGCTATATGAGTTTAGAAACTGAATCATTACTTTAAAATCCGGTCTGTACCTTTTGTGTTTTTCGTTTGTCTTAAACGACAGAAAACAAATATAATATGTTGCCAGACGATCTTTTGGAAATATCTAGAACTTTTCTTTTTTTTGATAATTTAACGAAATCAGTTTTCTAATATTTTTGTTGAAGATACTAGTTGATCAGATGAAATAAGGTACAGTTACAGGAATATATAGACAAAACTAAATAGAGTCCCGGCGTATTGCAATTACAAATCAACAATAAAACATTAGTGCTAAAAACAGAAAAGTAAAATTGAGAAATAATTAAGAGAAGATTAAGAAGAATTGATCAAAACAAGGAATTATGATCACTTGACAATCAGAGTACTAGAAAACAGCCGTATCGTACTATAATATAGCTACTGACTTACTATAATTTAATTAGAGGATCGACATCGGAGAATACAAATTATAAAGAAAAATAAAAAAAAAAATAAAAAAAAACATAGAATGTCATATGTCAATCAATTACGTTGTGATAATAAATTGAGACGAGACAGGGAGTACTAATAATGCTGTTTTATCCTTTTTAAACTTAGAAATTAATGTTAATATAGTTAGTACTTTTCACAATAATACAACATTATTCTTTAACATATATATTGTATTATGATACGTACTTAGTAATTACAACCTAATAAATAAAATAGAAAAGCATAATGTAAAGTATTGTTTGTTCTGACGGTACCAAAATAAGATAAAAGATTAACGGAAAAAAAGGAAGTAAACTAAGAATGAAGAGTACTCGTGGTGACGTAATAATAACCAATTAAACACGTCAAAAAGCATTTGGGGAAATAAAACACAAAATGTTGTAAATGATCGTTTCGTACGGCAATATAGTTTCCTGAGATGTATAAAACATACAATAATACTTGAAAATTTTCGAAACTAACGCTATCAAAACGTTAGAATTAAAGAAAGAAGATATTGTTTTCAAAAGCCAGCTGCTACGGTTTTAAGACAGAGTTTTCTACCTCAATAAGTATAAGAATAATTTAAACTTCTTCTTAAAATAGGAAAAGAAAATAGTAATTTTCGCATGACATAATAAATTAAAGATCCTGGAATCACCGGTAAATCTTTTTGATTAACCCCCTTTGAATTTGAACTGTTTAAATGCAAAATGAGCGTAAATTTGAAAAAGACTATTTTTCAGAGAGAGAAATCCTCCTATGAAGCTCTTGGCCTCTTGCGTTTAAAATGGTAGAGAGAGAGAGATAGAGAGAAATAGAGAGAAACAGAGAAATAGAGAAACCCTAAGAGCAAATTCAGTAAAGTGGAAAAAATGGTAAAAACCCTAGCCTTGAAATATCTGTCACGAATGACAAAAATTTGTACTCTAAATAGCAAAAATAAATGAGCAAAGGTAAGAAAAAACGAGAAAAACGATATTATATAATATATTAATGCGAAATATCTTAATTAAGCTGCGATGGGGGTGTCAGTATCTAGTCTCCTCCACATCCAGTGACCAGCTTTTCTTTTCTCTTTTTGCTATATAAAGATGAAGCAAAAACAAAGCAAAACAATATTATAGGTTGAAAGTATATCAAGTTCGCCTCTTAATATGGCAACCTAAAACTCTCCTATAGTACTGATCAATATCTTAATAATGATTTTGGCCCCAAGCCTATTTGTGGGTGTAATGAAACCAAATTAGTATAAAAAAAAAAAAAAAAGGAAAAAAAAAAAGAGAGAGATTTGAAAAGTACAGATCTAGACCCCAACTGAAAAATAAAACAAGCTCAATCCGTATATAGATATAGATATATAAATCAAGAGATCATCAGAGAATTGTTATTAACTCAGTGCTTCCAAACTCATAGAGCTTTCCACGGCTTGAGAAAATGATGAGACCCACTCCTGCATCGCACAACACAGATAGCTCGTAAGCTTTCTTCAGCAAACCATTTCTCCTCTTTGAGAAACTCACTTGTCTGTTGATCTTGTTCTCTATTCTTTCCAACACCACTCTTCCTCTTCCCATCTCTCTCTCTCTTCTCTCTCCGTCTCTCTCTCTCTGATCTCTCTGTGCTATATTTATGTCCAGCTTTTGTTAGATCAGTGTAGTTCAATATATATTGGAAGAACAAAAAATATCATAATATTGCAAGTGGACAGAAATGCCATAGATTAGTACTGTTCCGAGAATGTGAATATGTTTCTCTCTCCAACAATTTGACCTCTTTTTTTTGGGTGCATTTAGAGTAAAAAGACTATTTTGCTTTAATAATAGAAACTGTATTTTAGCCGTTCGATTTAGTTTTTTAACAATCTGATATAAAATATGGGCAGTTTTTTTATTCTTTATTTGTATATTTTTATTTGTGAACATAAAATTCTCCCCTTTTTTTTCTCTTACTTTTAAGAGGAAATGTGGGGTTGACATGAAAACTTGAGACGTGGACTTATGATTAGTCCTAATGGTTAATATTTGTGGAGGAAAAGAAACTTTAGAACTAATATAGTACTATTAATAATTCTTTCAGTTTATAAATTCAGAATCATAATTTATATTTTTAATTTTTAAAATTTAAATTTTTTATAAAAAAAATTATAATAAATCAAAAATCGTAATCTTAAATCAGATTAAAATCTCAAAACAAACAGAGCATAACATTTGCGTGTGTCAGTGTGTGTTGGGTTTTGTATCTTTTCAATGATATAAATGATAGCAACTCCTACGCAGTACTAGTGGAGTGCTTTGTCATGGTCTTGTGGTTGTAGACCTAAAGGCAACAAGATTGAATGTAGTACGGTATCTGTCACTTTTCAAAAGGTTGGCACGTGTCAATATACTACAGCTACCGTTAGCAGAATCAGGGACTTGTGTCAGCAACTTGTAGTCTCGACCAATGGAACGCCGACGCGCGTTGAAGCTCACAGTAGATATAGTACAGAAGATAAAAAATTCTGCAAGCAAATTGTCTGGGCCCGGTTTCCTTTATATATATATATATATATATTCTCTCTTTCACTCTGTCTCTTTGCTCCATGCTTTGCTTATCTTTGAAATTATCATTATTCTTCTTTTTGATGGCATGAGGAATTGAGGATTCATTCTTCGTTTGTTCTTTTTTTTTTTGAGGAAAATATTAAAAGTACTTATATTACCGTGTGGAATGAGAAAAAAGATTTTGATGATAATATATAATTGCATTGGATCAAGTTTGGGTATATATATCTGAGTTATATTGCATGCGAAGAGGTGCGCTAATTAGTTCCATGGCACATTCTTTTTTTGTACCGTAGTTAGAAGGTTTTGGAGCACGTTTAATTCGTTGATTCGAGTTTTAATTTGAGTTGAAATGTGACTTTTATGTGAGAGCTTTTTACTGTAGTAAAAAAGTTAGATGTGACTGTTTCTGAGAGCTTTTTACTGTAGCAAAACTCAAATTCTAAACTCAAATCCGTGAAATGAACGATGTCTTAGAGAATTTGGAGAATATTGGCTATATGTTTACATTGATGTGAATATCTATATATACAAATTGAGAGAGCACACCTAGTGTCTCGATGCGTTTAGAACTCGTTCTAAAATGATTTTATTTTTTATATGAAAATGAAAATAAAAACGTTTTCAATTTCAGACAGAAATCATTTTTAAAACTGCGTTTGATAGTTTTATCAAGAGATTATTTTCAATATAAAAAAATTCATTAATGTCTCTCTCTCTTTCTCTCTACTCAAGAGAGGAGAAAACGGAAACAAAAAAAATTCATGAAAAGTCGTTTCTCATTTTTCTCTCATTTTACACTAAACCAAAAAATCCTTTTCATTTCTTTTTTTGTCTTTAATTGTGCCAAACGTCGTTTCTCTCCCATTTTCATTTTTTCTTTCTCGAAAAACATAAAAAATAAAAATAAAAACAATTCCAAACACAGTCAATGTATCAAAATTAAAACATTATTCTAACCTAATCAAATCACCTATAATCAAGCTAAATCAGCTAATTTCTAATTACATAAATACATTCATTTATCCTTATCATCTAGTACCCATCTAATTTTATTTTGAAATATTTTCAAGAGAAATTAATTCTTGAGAATTTTCAAAAGTTGAAAAAAGTTGTCAACGTATGCACGGACCTTTTTTGTTATGTGGAACGGAAATGTTGGTCATACGACAATATCTATACATGACATTATTAATGATGCTTATTATAATAGTACCGTTGTATTAAGGAAGAAAAACATTCATTTATTAGCTAGCTAGCTAGCCACCAAATGACAAGAAATTGACGTTATGTCATTATATATATATATATATATGTACGTATATATGATCAGCACGTATGTACTTGTGTTTGTATTTCCCCCTCAAAAAACTATACATTTACGTGATGTTTGGTAGAGGGATTCATTCCCTGATTCGAATCATGATTCGTGATTCGCTACAGTATTTTCTCTCACAAAAAATACACGTAAATAAAAAATAATTCTAATCACATGATTCTAATCCATAAACCAAACGGACTCTGGAAAAGATAGCACACTTTGTATTCTCACGTTTTAGTAATCCTTAACTTCTATTCCTAGAAGATACATCCGTAAACACCACACATTTAAACTTTTAATTTCAGTGTTATAAGCCTAATGATCCACAAACCAGGAAAAATTTGGGAAAATATTTTAAATCTCCAAAGCAAACATGAATAAGTTTATTTTATTTTATTTTATTTTTTTTAATGTCCCTAATCCTAGTACACACGCAGCTCAAACTGTAACTAAACATAACCAAAAAAATCTTTTTATATTCTTTTTTCCTTCGTTCTTGTTGGACATGTATAGTGTGCGAACTAGGTTATAATACTGGTGACCCCGCACTAGGAGGATGCGCCTTTAACTAGATCTAACTGAAAGGTAATTTCCACTCTTAGCAAACATAAGACGAGACTCGCATGAGGAACTTTTTCTTGTCGGGGGTGAGACTAATACTTTATTATCGAAGAAGCTCATCTCATTAATTTGTGCCATCCTCGTGCTATATTTGTATCGGAGAGCTCGCCGAGTTTGGTTCCCTCAACATAAGAAGTGTAGCCTCTCACAAGGCAACGCTGAAGCATCTGACCATATGTCCTGATTTTAACGTTTGTGATAGGATTGTTCACGTTCCGAAAACAACCAAACCGAATGTACCCGAAATCGAACGAAACAAGTTTTTCGATTTTAGAACCGAACCGACCGAATTCACTCACGGTCGATTACGATTTAGGATATTTGGTCGTCGATTTTAACTGAATCAACCGAACTTATTTTTTTTAATTTTTTTTTAAAAAGATGTGTAAATATATACATGGCAGGAGTACCGTTAAGGCTTATGGGGTTTGCGGTTGGAGAATATGTCAGTTTAAAGATTGGGCCTTTTGGCCATTAAAAAAAAACACTACTTCCTAAAAAAAAACTTACCACTCTCTTATTCTCTCTCTCTCTCTCTCTCTCTCTCATTATTGTCATGCCTCCCCTCTCACTTTCACTTGAGTCCCCTCCCTTTGCTTGTCGTCCTCATCAGTGTCGACACCATCTGATCAACTGTCACCTTTGTCGTTTGTTTAATTACCTTTTAAAAAAAAAAAAATTGTATGCAATCTTGATTGTTTGTGAGATTGAGAATATGTGATTGTTGATACTTGATCTATTATTGAGAAATTTTAGATATGTGAACTGCGATTTTGGTGTTGAATGTTTTAGCCTTTTTTTTTTTTTTGGTTTTTATATTCTAGAATGGGGCTTACACCGGTGGTTTTAACCGTAACTAAACTATCAAGTTTTTGAATAATCATTCGGTCCATTATCTTCTCCAGGCGGTTCGGTCATGGTTTTCTATTTATGCAAAACTGAACCGTCCATTCGATTGGTCCAGGGTGTAAAAAACTGTATCGACCGAACCGTTCCAATATAAATTTACTCATATTGAGAATTTGAGTCTAATTCAAATCTACTGTTTAAAGGATCAAATGGTTTTTTCAAAACTTAATTTTGGCCTAAATTTAGGAGAAGGTTAAAATATTGAAACCAAAAAGTTCAATTGATATAAGACTCGTGTGACTTAATTTGTAAAATAGGGAATAGATTTTACTTTAGCAAAAAATAAAAATCATACTAGTGAAGATGTGGTCAACACAAATGGTATTATGGCACTATATTGCATCTAGAAATCTGACCAACGAGGACGTTGAGTCCCAAAAGATCGATGGTCTTAACTCTCATAATCCCATAAGATAAGAGGGTCAAGAAAATGATAAATTGTCAAGTCTCACGTTATTTGATGAAGATTATAAGTGACGTTTTAAAAGTAGAAAAATCTAGAGGAATGGCCCTATAATAAGAGAGCATATTTGCATCGTTTCTTAAACAATATTAGACCTCTTCCTTTGTTTTTCTAAATAAAATCCCAAAGATCGAAACTCTCTCTCTCCTCTTTTTGTTTCCTTTTCGTTGAAAAACTGTTGTGCAATATTCTCGAAACTAAAGACCCATTTGATTTATGTGTTCAAACCAACGATTCTTGATTCTGACATTTAAAATTTAAATTTTCTATGAGAGAAAAATATTGTAACTGAATCAAAACTATGAGTTTAAACGCACGAAATAAACAGGTTCTAAAATTATACTAGTTGGCTGGACACCGATGCAGAAAAAATGGAGATATGGAGAGGATTAAAGTTTTTGTTTTCCGTGAATTTAGAAAACTATCCTTTCAAAAAAAAAAAAAAAAGTACATAAATCATCGGCTTGAAAGAATAATTTTGAATTTATTACTCTTTTACTTTGCCCTTAAAACTTTAATAATGTTAGTCAATTTTCCCATCTCTTCACTTAAATGGACAGAAACGCTACATGACACTACAAAGTTGAAAGAGTTAAACCTAGCAATTGCCATCGGAGAAATACTATTGAAAGGTTAAGGTTTCGTTCATTTCATTGATTCGATTTTAGAATTTGAGTTTTACTACAACAAAAAACTCTAAAAAACAGTCACATTTAACTTTTTTGTTACAGTAAAAAACTCTCATAAAAAGTCACATCTCAACTTAAATTAAAAACTCAAATTAACGAATTAAACATGCCTTAAAACTCTTAAAATACATAACACTGGTAGAGATACTATTGAGGTATACTATACTAACGAGGAACTTCGAAGAAAATAACCGTACTACAAGAACATAAATAGCAGATGAATTTGTCCTTCTATATGCTGTGTTGATGAAAAAAAAATATGGTAGAACTGTAATAAAAAGTAAAAAGCGGGTTATAGTGATGCTTTATTTTTATAGTAAAGCGGCATGACATATGGCATGAGAGTGAGAAAAATAGTAACAAAACAGCAAATGACTATTATTTTTCAAGCGAGAATATCAAATTTAACCTGCCATTTATTTGACCATCTAAAAGCCTCACTTTTTTTGTGTGTGAAAATTTTCTAGAATTAACCTTTAAAAATTAATTTAAAAACAATATTTCTCTTATGTTCAGTATTGCACGTTTTGTTTTTAATTTATTTAACTTTATCTATTCTAATAAAAAGATTGTTTTAAATTTTTTTTTTATCATTCACTGCACTTTCTATTTTTTTTATATATATTGTCCTAATTCCTAAAATTATCAATAAACACTCCTAATATCTTTAAAATTTACAAAAAAAAATGTAAAATACAAAATTACATGATTATTTTAGTAAAATTTCAAGTTACCCATATCACATTATCTCTCTATTAAATTTCAATAATTCATTTTTAAATATTGAAAATAATATATTTCTTTTTTTTTTAAAAAGATAACTCAAGGTACGTCAGAAATAAAAAATGATTCAAGCAAGTCATGTTTTAGGATGTTTCTTACAAGAATTCGTCACTGATTTTGAATCATAGTTCTTAGTTTTTTTCTCATAAAAAATTTAAATTTTAAAAATTAAAATCATAAATCATGATTCTGAACCCATGAACTAAGGTCATGTTTATTTCACCGATTTGAGTTTTGTTACGGTAAAAAGCTCTCAGAAACAGTCACATCTAATTTTTTTACTATAGTAAAAAACTCTCACATAAAATCACATATCAACTCGAATCAACAAACTAAACGAGTCCTAAGGGCTCGTTTAGTTCGCTGATTTGAGTTTTTAATTCGAGTTGAGATGTGACGGCCTCGTTCACTTCGCGGATTTGAGTTTTCAATTCGAGCTGAGATGTGATATTTTCTGAAAGCTTTTTACTGTAGCAGAAAAAGTTAAATGTGATATTTTTTGAGAGTTTTTACTGTAAAAAACTTAAAATTGAAAACTCAAATCAGTGAAATAAATGAGATTATACAAGAACTTTTTTTATTATAGTAAAAAAATTAAATATAATTATTTTTTTACTCTAATAAAATTCAAATTTTAAAATAAGTGGAATGAACGGACATAAACCTCTCGAAAGAAAACCGGAAAAAGCAGTTCACGTGGGGAGAAACAATTATTAAAATAGTGTTTTATTGTTTTCCACAAAAAGAAGTACATGTGGCGATCAATAGCCGCTCTCAGATTGTACAGATCAGCCATCCCTCTGCGATCTTCTCCAACTCCTCACTGATTCTCTCTCACTCTTTCTTTCTCTCTCTAAACTCATCAATGGCTACTCTCTCTCTCCGCCTTCACAACCTTCTCTCCTCCAAATTCACATACAAAACGCCACAACTCTCACTCTCGTCGTCTTCTTCCTCACATGTCGCTCTCTTTCCTTTCCTCACCTCTCCTCAACTTCGTCTCAGAACCTCACATTCCCTCTCCATCAAAGCCTCTTCTTCCTCCTCCTCATCATCTTCATCGTCATCTTCTTCTTCTCCGACCACCATTGCCCAACCACAAGGAATCAAGGTCGAGCTCAACTTTAATTGAAAAGTGGAACGATTTTCCCTTTTTATCAAATATTTCTGTATTGTATTCCTTCTCTTTGCATTCGATTTTTTTTTTGAATCTTGGTTTTATTGCGTTTCAGATTAAATCCATTCCCACTAAGCCGATTGAAGGCCAGAAAACTGGAACGAGCGGTCTCCGAAAGAAAGTAGCCCTCTTTCTTTTCTTTTTCTCTCTCTCTGTTACATATTTTCAATTTTAAATTTAGTTTCTTTTATTTTTTTTTCGTCTTGGATTATAATTTTGATTCATGTGCTCTGTAGGTGAAAGTTTTCAAGCAAGAAAACTACCTTGCCAATTGGATTCAGGTATGAATTTTCTTCTGGTTTGATAAAATTCATGCTATTGCGTTTCAATTCTTAAAATTGTTTTGAATTTTGTGTTGCATAGGCATTGTTTAATTCGTTGCCTCCAGAGGATTACAAAAACGGAGTTTTGGTTTTGGGCGGTGATGGTCGGTACTTTAACCGTGAAGCCGCACAGGTTTTTATTTATTTATTTTTATTTTTCAAAGTGTCACGATTTAGATTTATAATTTATGTGGGAAATATTGGTTTGGATAGTGTATTTTCATGCGTCTCTGAATATTTTTGGTGGACTTAAAATAATGCAGATCATTATTAAAATTGCGGCTGGGAATGGTGTTGGTAAAATTTTGGTTGGCATGTAAGTGTTCTACTTTGATGAGAACTCACATGACATTGCCAAACTCCTTTAATTATTTTCCCGGAAAATTTTTGTCACATCTCCAATTGAAACTTTTTTATTTTTTTATTTTTTCATACCTCCCTTTTGTGTTAGTTTTTCAGTAGTGTTTCTTGAGATGAATGATCATAACTAGGATAAAATTGTGATTACAGGGAAGGCATTTTATCAACACCAGCTGTTTCGGCCGTAATCCGGAAAAGAAAGGCAAGCTTGTGGCTCTCTCTCTCTCTCATGTTTGAGCATTTTGATACAACATATAACATTATACTAGGCTCCTTTTTATTCTCTTTCTAACAATCAAAATTTCCTTTTCATAGGCCAATGGCGGTTTTATTATGAGTGCAAGCCACAATCCTGGTGGGCCTGATTATGATTGGGGTATTAAGGTGTGTTTCTAATTTCAGAACACAAACTGCGAATAATGCACTACAATTTCACTGTACACTTTTTCATGACATAGTTATTGAAACTTATAAAGTGCAACTAAATAATATCCAGGCTTATATTGTGATAGAAATTTTGTTTCTTAATCCAAATTGCAACAAGTTCATACAATGCAGTCCACTAAAAGTTATGTTTTATTCACAGTTTAACTACAGCAGTGGCCAACCAGCACCTGAATCCATCACCGACAAAATCTATGGAAACACTCTCTCTGTAAGTATCTGGTGTTTAGCATAAGCTTCTGCTTCACTCTGCATTCATTGGTCTCTTTTTTTTTTTTTTTAAGACTTTTAGCCTTAAATTTTTCCATTAAGTATGACTTCATTCTGCTCTTTGGTAAAGCTTGAGTCGAATAATTTCCATGCAGATCTCTGAGATAAAGGTAGCAGACATTGCTGATGTTGATTTATCACGTCTTGGAGTTACAAAGTTTGGAGACTTCACTGTTGAAGTAGTAGACCCGGTTTCTGACTACTTGGAGCTATTGGAGGTGTGAAATGTGAAACAAATCACATGCATCTCTATAATGTTTTAGATGACAATTAAATACAGAATGGAACTCAGTATTTTATGGTATTTTGTGCAGAGTGTATTTGATTTTAAGCTTATCAAAAGTCTCCTGTCAAGGTCGGATTTTAGGTATGATTTATCTGTTCTCTACCAAGCTGGAACTTTATTTTAGCTGTGCTCACATCCTGACATGATTTACAGGCTTCTACCATTTTTTCTTACGCTTTGGTTTTTAATTTATTCTTTGCAATGCTTGAGTCTAAGATGGCCTGTGCGATCGAGATTTTTACGTTTTTGATCTGTTTCAATTTTAGGTTCATATTTGATGCCATGCATGCTGTTACTGGTGCATATGCAAAACCTATCTTTGTGGATAAGCTTGGAGCCAATCCGGTATGTGATTACTTAGATGGAACAAGTTGAACGCTTTATAATTTTCTGTTATTGGAGATGTAGATGTGAGATGTCGGGTGTTTTGCGCAGGATTCAATTGCAAACGGAGTGCCTTTAGAGAACTTTGGACATGGTCATCCAGATCCTAATCTGACGTAAGCTTTATCTATGTTGTATAAATGCTAATATCCTACCAGTTATTGTTTTTGGGCACTGCTAATTTTGACTTTTATTCAAACAGCTATGCTAAGGATTTGGTCAACATTTTGTATAGTGAAAATGGACCTGATTTTGGTGCTGCAAGTGATGGTAATATTTCATAACTGGGAACTAGAAATTGCAAACAATCATTACATCATTTCTTTGTATTTCAATGTTCATTGATATCATTCATACTCTTTTATTATAACATATTTTCGTCATTTACATGGCAATTTGATTTTTCCTGATTTGTTGACTGTATAGTATATCTGGCGTCTTGAACTTTTCATCTTTAATCAGGTGATGGTGATAGAAACATGATTCTGGGTAGAAGTTTCTTTGTTACTCCTTCAGACTCTGTTGCAATTATTGCAGCCAATGCACAACAAGCAATCCCATATTTCCAAAGTGGCCCAAAGGTAAGAAGTGGTGCCACTTTTCCAAAATTTCTCTCTGAATTGTTTGATGTAGAACTAGAAGGAAATGTCTCATTGTTGTGTTTCTAAATTTTCAAGGGTTTGGCCCGATCTATGCCAACAAGTGGCGCTCTTGATCGAGTTGCTGAAAAGTTGAGTCTCCCATTCTTTGAGGTTTGTCTCTCTTTGTACTATTGTATAATGATACTGTAAGAAAATTACTGCATTTTTAATCGTGGGATTTCACTGATGACATATTTCTTTCCCAACAATGAACCTTTTTTCGAGCCAGGTCCCCACTGGTTGGAAGTTCTTTGGGAATCTTATGGATGCAGGGAAGTTATCAATTTGTGGGGAAGAGAGTTTTGGAACAGGTTCCGATCACATCCGTGAGAAGGATGGCATTTGGTAAAAACAACACTGCACACTTTTACTGCTTTCAATACAGTTTCTATCTACTTCTAGATGAGAAACTTGCTAGTGTGTCCATTATTTTGTTCCAGATGAACTTTTGTACAATAAATGAGCCTGAAACCTTAATTTAACTTCAAACTTGCAATCTAGTGTTTTAATATTATTTTGGGACAGTGTTTTCATAGATTTTGGGGAAGACAGAAAACACGGGAAAAAATGCTTTGTTGTTTCTTGTACTTTTTCGTGCCTTCTCTCCTCCAGTGAATTGTCAATTACCATGTGAAATGACTTGAGTGTTTCCAAATTACAGGGCTGTGTTAGCTTGGCTATCAATCATTGCATACCGAAACAAAGACAAGAAACCAGGGGAGAAGTTGATCTCCGTTGCCGATGTTGTGAAGGAACATTGGGCAACCTATGGAAGAAATTTCTTTTCTCGTTATGACTATGAGGTCAGCATCATCATGATTATTATTTTTTTCTGTTATTATTATTTGTTATGGCTGTCCTTTGCCAAGTAGCCAGTTTATCGGGATAAGTGCAGCTTTCTAATTGTTCTGTGTAATGATCCAGGAATGTGAATCTGAAGGTGCCAATAAGATGATAGATTATCTCAGAGATCTGATCTCCAAAAGCAAGCCTGGCGACAAGTACGGTAAGTTCATATCTCTCCTTTCTCTTGGTATCATCTTCATGACCCGCTGGCTGGGTTTGGGTACTAAATATTGTCATGTCTCAGGAAATTATGTACTCCAAGTTGCCGATGACTTTACATACACTGATCCTGTAAGTTGCCCTTCTTGCGAAGTTGCAATTCAAACAAACGAGTCAGTCAAAACTTAAGACTAAAGCTGAATCCACTCCCTTTTTCTTTTAACTCATATTTCATCCATTTATCCAGGTCGACAGTAGCGTGGCATCAAAACAAGGTGTTCGGTTCGTTTTCACGGATGGCTCGAGAATCATATTTCGTTTATCGGTATGTTGGCACCTTTCCTCATACTCAGATCCCCCTCTATTGTCCTTGAATATTCTTATTCTTAAAAACTTTGGTTTGATTTACTATGGGAAGTAAAACTTTTGAGTGTTATATGTAACAGGGGACTGGTTCAGCCGGTGCAACCATCCGAGTTTACATCGAACAATTTGAACCAGATGCCTCTAAACATGATGTTGATGCTCAAATAGCCTTGAAACCGTTAATAGGTTAGTTTTGTATTTGTTCTCACTTTTATAGTAAAAGCCTCATAAAAATTACACAAAATTTTTTTTCTTTTTCTTTTGTCATGGTTTAGATCTGGCATTATCCGTATCAAAGCTGAAGGACTTCACTGGAAGAGAGAAGCCAACAGTCATCACATAAAGTACGAGTAGATACAAATCAATTTTGCTTATCAACTATGCCCTTAAAGTTGCCATCACTTTTTTTTTTTTTTTTTTTTTTCCAACCTTGTCTAGTTTTATCATTTTCATATTCCTCCTTTTCAGTTTTGGTTGTATGCAAGGTAATAATCTGGTTGAGGAATAAATATTACAAAGTTCATCTGCGTAGAACATGTGAATATATAAATGAGAATTCCAGTTTCTCCGCTCAAGAAATAATGTCTTTATGCCTCTTTGCTTTAATACATGTTACATGTACTATCCTATTCCTAGGAGCTCAATCACCAATCAATCATGTTCAATAGAGTGATGATAAGGCATGCAAATGAGACGTTGATGGCTTGATAATGAGAACTCAGTGTTGAAAAAATAATGGCATCGAGTACGCAGCGGAATTTAAAAAATTTAATCAACGTCAAAGCCAACTAAGAACATGTTCATGATGCTATATAACATAAATACTAAAGATTTAAATCATACCTTTTGAGATTTAGAAAACTGCACGTCTGACAGATCAAAGCGTTCCAAACAGCAACCGGAAGAGCCTCAACCAACTTATCTTCTTTACTATTCTCGTTTCTACGATCGGAGTGCGGGTGGGCACACGTCGTTCAATTTCCTCTTGGTATTCTTGATCTCCTTCCAATCACAAGAGAGCCAAATAAAAAATTGTTCTTGAGAATTAAACAATTTTTTCTCTCAGGAATCTTTTATCAATAGCCTCCAAAAAGTCTCTCAAGTGATCTTATGAGTAATGTGACTTAATAGGCTATTTATAGTGTTTAGGAAGTCATACTTTCGTAATAATTAGGTTTCCCAAAGTCTTAATCGCATCCAGAGTTGATTTTGTCACGTCAGCATGCATTTTACGTTACAACCGGTTGACCGGTGACAGAGACGTTATAACTCACCGGTCAACCTGTCTTCACTAACCAGTCGACCGGACCGGTCGACCTGTCTGCACTGACGAAAGTTATTTTCCTAGTTTTTCAACACGGAAAACTTGCATAGAGCCCCAGTTTTGATTCAAGCAACCCAATAGAGAAATTGTCTGATCAAAACAGTCATATAATAGTCTTCCCATATTAAACAACTCTTAAAACAATAATTCAACCAATTTATCTAGAATTAATTTATCAATTAATTCACCCGATAAATCATCCATGAATTAACTTTGAACCTCTTTTACGGAATAACACAAGTTACCAATGTGTAGGAAATACGCCGTATCGTTACAGGAAATTATGTGAGCTAGCAAAGGGACCCGATGGACATATATAAATCAAGCTCCTATAATCACAACGCTACTTGTAAACCAACAAGTCCGTCTCATGATTATAAAACTCTAGCACTATTCCACTAAAAGCCTAGAGCTGCACTCTTGATTTATATAGCGTATTTACAAAGCTCTGATTAACTCTAGTCCATGACTCAATATTTAGTGTATCATCCTTATAGGATATCCATAATCGACTTGAGGTCAAGTTCCGTTTTACCTTCCCAATTACATTTATCTTATGTTCCATTATCATACCATCAGAAAAATACTATTCGTACCATTACAAACAGTAAACCATTAGATAACACAGAGTAGTTTAATGGCCGAGCGCTCGTATTTTCCAATCCACTGATAATGAATAAGAGAATATCATTGACTCTTTATAGGAGCTATGGATTCCACTATCTATGAATAACGAATCTACGCATACACGAGTCATACCCCCAATGTACCGGCAAGCGTACCTTTACATAATGTCAGAATGTCTCCCTTTAGTACATCAAAGGATACAAGTCAAGCATATGAGTTCATCATCCATCTCAGGATTAAGATGACAACATATAATTCGTCAAAAGTGAATTGTTTTATTCAAACAGAATTATTAATTAAAACAATTCAACTTTGGTCCGATCCAATATAGATTTCACCATTAGAAACTATATCAATGTCTCCACTGATGGAGTCCCACCTCCGACGATCAAGACAAGCCGTCTCCGTTAGGAAGTAGACAACATAACAATCTTAACATGAATAAAGTGCCCAACTTTATTCCCTCGATTGTGGATCATAAGATTTAGACTATCATCTTTAGATTCTTGTCTTCCGCATGTTCTTCACATTATATGCATGACCTAAAGATTTAGAATGACAGCCTCAGACTTTCAGTTTGCTTATCATATATTCAACTATTATAAACATAAAGAGGACAATACATAGATATATGAAATAAATAAATCTTTATTAATAGTCAAAATGTCTCAAAAAATATTGTTACATTTATTCCTAAGGGCATAAACGCTAACACTCAGACCCAACCCAGATCTTTATACATAATGGGCCGATCACTGGGCAAAAGAGGTGGTCCACGAACCGGCCTTTTTGGCCCAATCCATGTTCACACCACTAAATACAACTAAAAAACCACCAAATATCAGCAAATTGAAAAACGATGACCGTGTTTGAAATTGATTCCGTTTTTTTCACGTTTTTTTAGCAAGAAATAATGAAAACGTTTTCAAAACGGCGTTTGGCGCAATAAAGATGAAAAACGGAAATGAAAACGATTTTTTAGTTTAGTGTAAAATGAGAGAAATAAAAAACGACTTTTAATCGTTTTTCATTTTTTGTTTTCGTTTTCTCCTCTCTCGAGTAGAGAGAGAAATAAAGACATTAATTGGTATTTTTACACTGAAAACAATATCTTGATAAAACTACCAAACACATTTTCAAAAATGATTTCTGTATGAAATTGAAAACGTTTTCATTTTCATTTTCATACAAAAAACAAAATCATTTTGGAACGAGTTTCAAACGCGCCCGATATCCTTTACAAAAGAAAAAAATGGAAAATACCCTGAGAGTGCATGAGTCTAGACTTTTACATCTTACTCTTGATAAATATATTTTTGTTAGTGTAATTATTTAACTAAAAAGTTATAAATTAAAAGTAAAGGGTAAAAATCTTGACTCATATACTCTTAAGAGATATTTATTAAGATTACCCTTTACAAAAATACAAGAACTAAAATTGAAGAAAAAGACAACTTGCTCGAAAATGAGAATTTTACGAACCATCTAAAGAAAACGGTTTGAACTAAGATCGACAAATCGGGAAACGATATAAAAATTTAAACTGTATGGTTTAAATTATAGTTTGAAGCAGAGTTTAAATGTGCAGTTAAAATTTTAATTTGAACAGGGAATAAAATTGAAATTTGTATTTGGTAGGTGTAAAAACCAAAGAGAGTGGGCACCTTTTTATTGTTAAAAAATAGTTTGAACGGTTGAATTTTGGGGGGTAATCTTGGACAAATACCCCTTGAAAGTGCACGTGTCACGATTTTTACCCTTTACTCTTGATTCATAACCTTTTTAGTCAAATAATTACACTAACAAAAAGGTATTTATCAAGAGTAAGGGGTAAAGGTCCAGACTCATGCACTCTCAAAGGTAAATTTTCCCCTTTTTAACTTTTTTTTAGGGAATAGTTAAACTCTAAGTTGGACAGTTTAACTCAGTCAAACGGGAAATATAATTCAGACTGTGTGCTTATCAAATATGAATTTAAATTGTGCTCACTGTATAAACTGAATCGAGCGAATTAAACCAGTGAAACAAACAGGGGTAAAAATATTATAAAAAAAAAAACGACATCAAGTTAAAAAACGGCAAGAACTACAAAGGTGAGGAAAAACCGCCACACCATAAAAGCCGCGGTTTAAAAACATCTCCAGAAAACGATATGAACTTATAAACAAAATACGTGAAGAAACGAAAGAACGACAGCATAAGTGACAATATCTAAAAATGACATCATCTGGTAAAACAAAATAACCACAATACTGAAGAAAACGACATTATTTGAAAAAAGAAGAGCCGCAAAAACGAAATTATCGTTAAAAACGACAAGAATCACAAAGCTAAAAAAGTAGTCTTTTCTGTAAGCGACAGTGTCGTTGTTTTAAGCATAAACATCAGCAGACTTGTAATGGAGGAATCACACGTCGTTTTTCCACTTGAGCGATAATTTGACATACCAAACTTTTTAATAACAAACTACATGTCGTTTTTTCAAACAACAGTAAAAACGACCGAAACATGTTCTCTACCGAGCGAGAGCATACTGTCGTCGAGGGGAATGGGATATGTTGTACTGTCAAGCGTACAGCCAAAACTACTACTTTAAATACTAGTTTTGATGCACGTCCGTGCAGTAATGAGTATAATCTTACATTTTTTAACATTAAATTAAAATAATATTGGTGTTAATTTTTATCATCTTTTCTTACTTTTGCACATGATTTTATATTCTTTTTTTAAAAAACTTTTTAGTAAAATTAATAATTATATTAATTCTTGACGTAAGAAAATAATTTCCCCTTTGAAATCACACATAATTATAAAAAGTTATAAGAATATATTGTGTTAAAGCTAAACTATTCCACTCATACATTATTTAAATACAAATATAATCACAACCTTATAATATTAGGTCACCCCACTTAAATGGGTTAACTTTTTAAGATAAAAGTCTTATACCTTATAAAGTACAATTTTTCTTTCTCACTTCTCTCCTCAAACTCTAATATGGCATCATTGCTCAAACGGAGCTAACTTGATCCATAAAAAATACAATATTGGTGACTCCTCTTGCGGGGGCATGTTAAGAGTAAATTACTCGAGTCTTGTTGTGAAAAATCGTAACGCAAGTATACGCTATCGCAATCAAGTAATATAATAGTGAATAAGAATATCGTCCCACGAAGATTGTTGTTTACTAATTACTGAAATTATATTAACCCTAATTTTTTTTGAATAGTCGAAAAGAGAGTTTATACAATTAAGTAAAGTAAAACTAAAACGATTAAATAAATCAAACAACGCTACGCAATGGAATAAAATTCAATAGATTCAGACTCTAGGGTTTCCAATTTCACCAAAATTAAGCCTGTTCAAATTCTCATAATTCAAGAAAATTAACATTCAATCCTATACTGACAGCAATTTCTCTAAAACAATTATTATTCTTTCTCAAGCAACAATAATATTAATCCAACAAACAAAATCTACATCTCTGTCAGACTTCTAAACCTGTTGAAAATCAGTAAGTGCAAGAAATTCAAAAGAACTGCACAAGCATCATAAATATCTCTATCCTATGAACAACTCATGGTATTTCAATTAAGAGCTTATTTAATTATCAC